TTCACTTTTTGTCCAAGAGACACAAGAAGAAGTGAGATGAAATCCCTTTAGAGTGAGGGAAATCCTCTCTTAGGCCCCATTTACACTTGTGAATGGGGTTGTTAGAGGTTGCGGAAGACCCAGCGGGGGTTCCTGGCGATTAGCTGTGGGCTGCAACCCTAATAAAAGCAATTCGAGGCTGACAGCTTCCGTAGCTTAGCACGTCACTCTGTGTTCAGGACCTATCATTCGCAGGTCCATGATGCTCCATGATGTGACTGGCTGCAGTTAGCTGCTGGAGCTGTCAGCCTCCCATTTCTTTTGATGAAGCCTCCACCCGCCACTGGTCCTTCCACATGTAATCACAAATAGCTTAATTGGCAAGTGTGAATGGGGCCTTGGACATTTGTCACTGGAATTAGTATCTCCATTAGAAGATTTCTCCTTATCACTTCCATCACAATTTCCCATTACTTCTTGTTCTGGAGTGTCCCCCAATGGGTGACACAGTGCAAAAAAAACGTAAAAGGGTTACGTTCCCCCTTCTATACAAAATTAAAAAAGAATGCATACACTTTATTGAAATGCATTATGCTGGCAAAACATATTTATCCAATCCTCTTTTTCAATCAAATCTGGTAAATATTTCTTTCAGGCCCATTTCAATTATCATTGACCAATTCCATATAATTAACTGGCAGATGAAAGTTATCACTTGCTTTAAAAATTATCATTTTGGTGAATGTTCATTGAGACTGGTTGTCCCAGGATCATTTTTATCTATTTAAACACAGAAAGATTTTAGAGTTTTAGGTTTAACAAACCAAACAATCACAACATTATAAAATTATCAGCAACAGTCATTTTTTTTTTTTTGCAAATTATTTATTCAGAACAAAAGAATGGCTGTACAAATAGATTGGTACAGAGATATTGTACATCTGGACAATGTTTAAAGGATCCTCTGCAATGAACTGAAATACACTGCAATGAACTGGAATATAAATTCACAGTGATCATGTGAACCGCATTCCAGTGGTAACAACATAATGGAAAAATCTGTAACCATAATGAAAAGGCCATATAATATCCAATATGGACAATGGGGACTTAAGGCCCCAGCCATGTTGTTCTCCTTTCCTTTTTTGTCAACTAGCAGAATAGGGGAAGACTGGAGAGGGAAGGGACAGAGAAAAGAGGCATAAAGAGGGGCAGGTCACTAGGGTAGGAAAGGTTGATGAGTGGAAATAGGGAGGTGGCAAGAGAAAAAAAAAGGGGGGGTGCAAAAAAGGGTGTAAGGGGGAGTGTGGGGTAAGGGCCAAGGCCACTAAAGATATGTGTCATATATTTCATTCAGAGTAAACAGGATTTGGCCAGTACGATTTTCTTATATTTAGTTTGAGAATCCTAACAGAGTCCAATGAAGCCTTATGTGTCAAAATTTCTCAATGTGGTGTGTAGGGAACAGGGTGAGGTCCCCTATTTTCATGATATCCTCAACCGCCATATCTACTGTCCCACTGCCAGACACCAGAAATAGCTTTCCACTTGGCTCGTATACAAATTCTTGCAGCATTTAGGAAGTGGATTACCAGGGAGCATTTATATTGGTTCTTGGAGTGAGAACTGAGATGAGGAAGACAAGCAGCAAGAATATCCACCAAGGACAGGTCGGTGAGATCCTGGATCAGGGTCCATGCATCTTTACAAAAGGTTATATCAGTGAGTATGTCCATAAAATAGGTAGAGTGAGCGCTGAGATTTCTTACATCTCGGCTGAAATCTCCCAGGAACCCTATACCACCTGATTGGTAGCTTGTGTCCCAAATTTGGAAATCTACCAGATATAAAGGATTTATGTGCAAAATTTAACACAAAATCCTGTTCAGAGGTAAGCTGTTGGTTAGGGTCCTTTTACCACTTAAGGAGGAGTGGAAAGAGTTTTCAGGCAATAAGTGTGGCATAAAAAATGGAGAGAGCATGATGGAATGGGGATGATTCCCCTCTCATCGATTTTTGCCAATAAAAGAGATTAGATCATTGCAGACACGTTTTTTAATTGGCGCTGAATAGAAAAATAGCTTCTAACATCCATCTGATCCAGCTGATTTAATTAATGCATACAATTGTTGAACAGCTAAAGAACAGATGTGTATATGGGCAATTTTGAGCTGTCTTTTATGTCTGTATTAAGTTTTCAAGTTTTATAGTGAGAACAACAAGAAGGAAATAGAAAAGGAAATTGTATAAAGGAAAGAACTGTACATCATGTTATATCAGCTTACATATTACTTGAATTGGGTGGGAAATCCCAGTCATTACAGCATGATGAGTCGACCACTTATAGGACGGTATTGTTTGAAGATGTTAAAGAAAACATTGTTGTGTTATGAGAAAGCTTGAGCTAAAAGCCCCATTACCTCAATAGATCATACTGTATATCCACAGATACAGTGTGTGCAATTTATCTCTCCATAAGGACTGTAAAGAAAAACAATGTGAGAAGGAAATCAAAATTATAGAAACGTAGAAGAACGGGATAAACCAATAAAAAAAGGAAAAGGTGTAAGCTCTCTTTTAGTCATGTTTTTTTTTCTTAGAAGTACTGTACTACTAGCTACTACAGTGTATGGTGTCAAAATTATTTTCACAGACAAAGTTACCTGACTTTATTTAATGAGAATTTTTTATCTTTTTTTGCAACTATTTATGTCCTTTTACCCTCACAGTAGGAATTATCCTCAAGATATACACCACCTGGTTACCAAGCCTATTTTTGTTATATGTATTCAAGCTATGTGTATGGCGTGGATCAGGGGTGGACTGACAACTCATGGGGCCCCCGGGCAATAGGGGATCATGGGGCCCCTGTGTCCTTGCCCAAACTCAAAAAAGCCTATGAAAAAGGTACCAGGGGCATCTCATGGGGCCCCCTACTGACCCCGGGCCCTCGGGCAGTGCCCGAGATTCCAAATGGTCAGTCCGCCCCTGGCGTGGATGATTATTTTTATCATATTGTTTTTTTTTTTTTTTTTATTTGACTGATTGTATGTTCACCTTGAGAAGAGTTTATCCTTTACATTATCCATGGGATCATAATAAAGATACTTTTTGCATTGATATTGATGTACTATTTACTCTGCTTGGGATTAACTAATACTGACTTTTTTGCAGTTTGTCCTTGTCAACTTCTTTTTTTCTGTTTGCAAAGTTACCGAGACCCTTCCTCATTCTAATTTTTGGTATAAAAAAAAACTGAACCTTTTCATCTTGTGTGCAGGCTATACTGTATGTATTATGTTGGTTTATTTTTTGATTGGCTATTTACATTAATAAAATGTAGGTGGGGGGTTTGAGTCTGCCTTGGGTGTATGTTGATTAGCCTTCCAACGTATTTTTGGTTTGTTGTAAAATGTAGGGCTAACCCTGCAGGAGCCGCTGTGTTTTGGGTCCCCCTAAGCTGTGCACGGTTAGACAACACACATTTTCCATTCTTGCATCCGAAATCATTAAGCAGTCCATGAGCTTAGTTTTTGTTGTTTTCTTAGGGGTTAGCAACTTGGATGGGGTCTGGGGATATATGGGATGCGTAATGGAACTGAAACAACTTGGAAGACAAACTTCTTATGTACAAAAAGCAGAAAGATTCAATCAGCACACAGTCTTTTCTAGGAGCATGTAGTCCCCTTAAAGGAACCTTCTTCAAACCCCAAATGAAAATCGCATCCGCCTGGCTGTCATGAAGAATATCCCAGAGCAAGGGGTTCTGAAACACATGGGAATGCTGTCTCAGGGAGAACTAGTGGGGTATTGCACCTGACCAGAGTGTAGAGGTACTTACACTATCCTGTTCCTGTAGCTCTAAAGGTGAAGCTGCGTTCAGGCCTCACATTGGGCTGGCTTCTTCCCATGCTGACAGGCTGCCCTTCCCCAGCAGACTGTGGAACAGTGGAGGTCCCTCTTTCAAGCTCCCAGCCTGTAGATGGACCCCCTATCCGGGGCCCCCTTCTAGGCTCCACACCAGCAGCACTTCCTCACTCCATTTTTTATCTGACTCCCCTGCTGCCAAGGCTCTCTCATATTTGTATACTTTGTATACTTGTAGTTCTCAATGAACGACCACTGCACTGTTGAGCTGTGGTAGTTCATTGATTCTTCCTGTCAGTGTGTATCTTTGAACATACAATGTACCAGCAGACAGATGCACTGACAAGTCTACAGGAGTCCTGCATGGCACCGGCAATCTTCTGATCATTGGTACAATGCTTTCCAGGCTCCCAAAACAAAAATAGTAAATGCACATTTTTTTTATCTGCAAAAAATATGCATTAATTATTTTTTGTTAAGGCAAATTTATCATTTAAAGGTAGTAGCTATATTTGCTTTCATTTTTGCTTTTTTTTTTTCTTTCTTTTCACTTGATCATTCAGCCAGGAACACAGTTCCTGCCGAAAGGGTGTTGTCACTCTATAGACAGCAGCATTATCAATCAGAGAGTAGTGTTAGATGCCCTAACAAACTTTGATGGACTTGACTACCAAATTAAAGATGAACTCTAGCTAACACAATTTAGGCTGTTATTGCAACAGTATATTTCCTTTTGGGATAATGATAAAAAACTGATCATTGTAAGCACTCCTGTCCTGAAACCTCCTACTTGCCACTTTTGCTGGACAGTTTGGCCTGTTAAACAAAGCTGAAAAATAACGGATTAACCACCCTAGCCGTCTGATTATGTCCATATTTCTGTGCTCAAATCAGTAAATTTTTTTGCATGGAAATATGTATTTTTTTTATTGTAGGCTGTAATTTTTAGGAATAACTCACTGAAATCTGTCCGAACAAGAGTCTAGTAAACATCCCGGGTAGGATAAAACTTGAAACACGAAATCATAAATTATAATTTAATAAATAATCATAAAAAATATTAATATAATAATAAATTTAATTCTATAATATAATCAAATGCAAAATCGTTTTCAGTGTCTGATGACGAATTTCCCCACGAATCATTATCACTCAATTCTGCAAGTGGTTCTAATTTACTATCGCTGTTCTCTAGCTGGTCTAAAACCGCTTTTGACCTAAAGGGACACTTTTTGGACGCCATGGACTTTTTTCAGTTTCCAGGCAGAAAGAACGGTAAAAATGCAGGCAGGGCACAGGACAAAGCACTCGGGACAAAATGTATGTGAAATGGTTTGATACAGTAATGTTTTACTATGTGATTTTAGTGAATGTCACTTTTTGTCATTTTCAAATTTCCCGCCGTTCCGTCCCCCGTACGTCCCGACGCTCGCAGGGGACGGAACCCAGATGACAGATGCCGGCATCCGCCGGATTACATTGCAGGGGACACTGCAGGGGGGACATCGCGGGAGCGCAGGACAAGGTAAGTGATCAAGGGATCACAGAGCAACGCCGCATGGTATTCCCGAGTGTAGATCGGGGTTACAGCTTGTGGTACTGAAACTTTACCCCGAGCTACACTCCGGAATACCGCCAGGGAGGTTAAGGCTGAACATAGATAAAGTGATTTTCTTTCCTGCAGCCCAACACAGACAATGTTCCCTACAATAACAGCTTCTAGCAATAATTGCATGTAAAATCCAGCAGGCTGGTTGTACCTAAGTTGATCAATCGATCAATTTGGGTAAATTCAGCCTGCCCATACATTCCTGCTGAACCGGCCAAGATTCAAACTGTCTATGGCCGGCTTTGCTGGCTGGATCACCAGGTAGAAATAAAGGAAAAAGAAAACTAATATAGCCACCACATCTAAAAATTGGTAAGTTGCAATATTTTTTGTTTGTTTTTGGGTTTAATATTGCTTTAAAGAGTGTGTATAGTAAAAATGTTATTTTTAAATTTTGGATAGAGTGATGAAAGATTATAACCTCCTGACAGTTTATTTATTCCTGTCTATGTCCTGTTAAGGAGTAAAAGGAAGTAACAGGAAATCTGTACAAAGTGATTGAAATTCCCCTTTTTAACTGGTGTACCTTACCTCTAGCTCTGGTGACAGCTGCAAAATGCTGAATTCCCATCACTTTCTGTCTCAGTGACTATGGTCACCAGAACAAACAGATGACTGAATCAACCTAGCAGGGGCACAGACAGCAATCAAATTTGACAGAGTTTCTAACCCTTCCCTACTCTATCCAAAAAAGGAAAAATTAGATTTTTCTGTACAAACCCTTAAAGGGGCATTTTAGCTGCTGGCAAGCTGCATAGTAGTGAATGAGGCCTATTGTTTAACTATTGATCAAAACTAAAATGTAACAGAGATAAGAGGTTCAGTAGCTAAAAGAGAATAAAACACTCTAAGCAAGAACTTTTTCTTCTATTATCCTTTTATATGGGCTGTGTTTGATTCATCCATTTTTTCCCTCTCATTGCCCAGTATGGGTTGGAAACTGCAGAGATAACAGGACGATCATAGAAAAAGCTCCAGCTAGAGACCTGTTTGCCCCAGAGGGTCTGTGCTGTAACTGCTGTGCTAGAAGAGATTCATTCATTTGTTTCCTCCTGTATTGGATGATAAATAATTCAAGCTTAACGCCAAATCTTTGATTAAAATCTCCTGTCCCATGATAGAGAATTTCAGATGGGTAATTTTTCTACAGAGACATAATTCACTTGGGGTACTCTGAATAATGGGATTTCTCCTATAACTGAGTGTACAAGATATACAGATATGCCTATAAGCTTATATATAATTGTGATTTAGAGTGACTTGTCTTAAAAAGATTTTTAAGTACATAGATACGTAGTTTTTTACTGACTTTTAGTATTGGTGTATTATTACAGTGCCAAGACACCTACTACAGTGATGGTACTAAAGTAGTGGTACCATTTGAAGCTTATATCACAACATTGTCAAATTCAAGTTGAAATAAAGCAAAAACTAAATCTTTTAGAGGGATATTATTTTTTTTTTTAACTGTTACTCAAAATAGTTCACGTAGTTTTGTGTGGAGGGAGACAGTGGCAGTCACTGGTTTAGGAGCAAGGCACAGACCATGTATGAGTAAGTAAGGTGGGTCTGCTAATGGAACCATGGCTTACTCGATGTTGCCAGTTTCTGTGGTACAGAGACACTATAGAAAATGCAAACTCATCAAAGTCTTTAGCTCTGATTGGCTAAACCAAGACTAGGTTATACCAGCTGACGTCCCATTATTGCAGACCTATAGACTTGACCCTCCCAAGAAGGACCATGTTATGAAAGTGGTCTTTATAGTGTCACTGCCTTGCTGACCTGAAATGCTGCAGAATCACACTGGCTAGTGAAGGAGTGACATTTTAACATTTTGCTGTTCCACCCAGAAAGGCAGCAACCCCATTGGGATAGACAGGTGGTGTCAGGAGTGTGTAACTTTCCTCTTCCAGGGGAGCTGCTGGTCTCATTCTAGCATCCTGGTTTAGGCTGAGCTGCACTCTCCCTGTCTGCCTGTCCATCTGCAGGGTGATCGGTGTAGACCCAGCCTCTGAATGGAGTCTAAAATGGTTTTAAGCCTGCCAAGCCCTCAGCATCATGCCTGTGATAGTGTTTGCAACACGTGATTCAAGCTCCCTGTTTATCTACCTTGTTCCCATGCCTTGACCTTCACCTTCACCCAATCCCTGCCCTGCCAGCTAGTTTAGATTTCCTTGTTATTGACCTTAAATTGGACTTTGGATTACTCTCTGAACTGCCTTTTTGACCACGGTTTTGACCCTCTGTGCTTTCTGAACATTGCCTGCCCTGAACCCAGACTGCCACTGGATCATTCTGCCTTTCTGTGAACCGCAAGTACCTGTTTGATGTGCTTAGTTGCTCCTGTCCTGGTGTGATAGCCACGAACTAAAGCATTGTGTATAAGACTTGTGTGTAACCGAGTACCAATAGGCCTGCCTGCCTGCCTTATTTTAATGGTGACAGGAACACAGAGCCAGCTATTGTGTCTGACCCCCATCGCTAGGGGTAGGCATGACAGGTGATCTGTTAGGGGACATATTGCTTGTGCATTTGCTCTTCTGGCATCAGTCTTAGGTACACATTCTCTGCTCTTGATGTTCTCAAAACCCTTAAATAGCCTAAGGTTTTGGCAAGCCCTACAGTGAAGTGAATTTACAGCTCCAGTAAGTTCTGTCTGGCTTCCTGATTGCACTCACCTGAGCTCAAAGTATTTGTACCTTCTGAAGAGGGCCATATTGAAGGCCCCATCATTGGCTAATTATTCTCCTTAGACAAAAAAAGTAACTGCTCGTTCTAGGCTACTTAGATTTGTGGAGGCCACAGTTTGTGTTAGTCTACTCCCTTTCACAAAGGATTTAGTAATATGCATTTTTTTCTATTAAAGTGATTATTTTTGGGTGCTTGGGGTCAATTTTAGATCAGAAAATAAGCAAACCATAGAATATGGATCCAATGCAATTTTATTAATCCAAAGACTTTATTCCATCAGGACATTAGTACAGACAAAGATGAAAAAATGTCACAAACCAATGATCAGTTCACACTTAGCACAGTTCTTTCTCAAGATTCCAGAGATACATCTTTGTATGATAGCATAGCTGGTCTTCAGGCCCCAAAAGCACAGGCCTAATTGCAGTTATAATGTCTGTTCCTTCAACCGATCTTTACCCCAATCTTTCTTTTCAGAATCAGGTGCTGAAATTCTACACCATCAAACAAGTAGGTGATGCAAAAGGGGAACATTACAGGAAGTGCGTCTTGCACTCCATCTTTGCCTCAAAGCTGAATTTTAGGCAAACAGAATGAAATACAAAAACTATACAGATGAAATACAAAAATATGAGCTGTTTTACCTGCCAGTTTGTCCATCCATTCCTAAGGTTTACACAGCTCTCAAGACAAGCCAATCAGTTGAGATACACTCCTTACAGTTATGAATACAGTTATGTCCTGTCCCTCCCTCTTCTGTTTAGTGCTACTATAAAGAAGAATGCGTAACAATGTATACCAAGCTTACCTGTGTACCACAATGGTGTAGTGCTTTCAAAGTTACCAAATAATTATATTATGATCAATCCTATATGTGCAACAACTACATACAAAATAATAAATAATAATGTCTACAAAGTCTCTTCAATTCCCTTGTGTAATATTCCTATGCTTTCAGCACCACTAAGTGCTCATGAAATCATCCACGACTTCTTGTGACCGCTACTGGATGTGATCTCACCTCGACCCTATGACCTTACATATCATGCAGGGTCATAGCTTATGTCCTCCTCTGTGGACTAGTATTGACTCTGTGCTGTCCCTGGTGGTCCTCACTGGTGGTAGATTCCCTTTTTTGGTCTCCAATTTTAATCCTATTCCTCCTTCCAATATTGATGGTCCTCTCCCTTTAAGGCGTTCTCCACTGTTCAGCAACACATTAAAAAATTTTAAAATAGTGTTTTATTCTTTTTAAAAATGCATTTCCCATATGCAGAATCACACTCACATTGTTAAGGTGCTACATTGCACCAAATACAGCCAATTTAACATACAGTATATATAATCCTCTCTTTAAATATTAGCGGTTCTCAATGTGTTTTTACCACCACTCTTCTGCACTTTCCAGAGCATTGTGACATAATCCAACAAGCCCCACACCTACGCGTTTCATCACAGGGTCACATGACTTCATAAGGGGGAATTCGCTAAAATGTCCTTTTTTTACTCACTTAAAGTTGAGGTGACCTGATACTCAAATCCTGAGTCTTCTCTGATATTCTGTTTAGCAATGGTGACATCAGTGCAAGGTAATTGTCTGGGACTGGCCAGCATGGGTACATTTGCAGTGCGGGATTTACTGTCCCCCGTATCCAGAAACTTCACTAGTGACGGGATGTGGATGGCAGATTAAAATGATATTAAACTATTTCTTAAATCACTTTCAGCAGCTGATTCAGTCTTACTGCGTATACAGCTTCTTTATCTTTTAACCCTTGCCTATTTTTCTGTCTAAGCTGGTGCCATGATGATTGCCTCAGGTTTCTTGTTTCAGGGTGGCTCTTTTCTCTTGCAGTGTCATATGGAGCCACCCTTCCATGCAGGGACTAGAGTTGTGTCTCCCTACACTGTGTGCATAAACAGAAACACACAGCCCCATAGCCTAGGATTTCAAAGTACTTCCCTGCTCCTCCCTCTCCTTTCTCCAAGATAACAGACAGATTGGAGACCACGCAGTCCGGTGTTAATGTTTTCCTGTAAAGACTGGAAATTCAGAGAAGCAGCACTTAGAGCAGAAGCCAGCAGCATTAAAAGACTGCAGGTGCTGAGAAAATAATTTTACCAAATAGTTTACTGATGAATGTCTATTTTATGCTCAAAGTGGTAAATTAAAAAATGTTGAGGATTTAATACTAGTTTACAG